GCGGGGTGGGGGTGGAGGTAGGGGAGGGGGAGGTCCGCCGCCGCGTGGCCGACGCCCTCGCCGGCGAGGACCCCCGCGCCCTCAAGGCGGCGTGGGCGAAGGGGGCGAATGGCCTCCTCGGCCGCATGCGGCGCGTCGCCGGGCTGCGTTGGGCCGCGGTGGAGCACATCCAGGCCGCCCTCCACAGCCTCGTCCCCTCCCTCATCGACGGCGTCGCGCCTGAGAAGGAGGGGGAGGGGGAGGGCGGCGAGGGCGGGGTGATCGGAGGGGCCGAGCGCGCCACCGCCGCCGCGGCGGGGAAAAAAGAGGTCGCGGTGTGCCCGCGCGCGGCGGATTTCCGCACGGTCGCGCAAGGGCTCCCCCTCACCCGCCTCGGCGTCCTCGCCTCCGTCGCGGAAGGGACCGTCGTCTACCTCGTCGGGTGGGCGCATCGGGTGCGGCATCAGTCGAGGATGTCGTTCGTCGTGCTGCGGGATGGAACGGGGTTCGTGCAGTGCGTCTTTGACGGTGCCGTGGAGCCGTTTCACCGGGAGACCTCCCTCGCCATCCGCGGCGTCGTTCGCAGCGAGCCGAAGGCGAAGGGCGACCTCCAGCCCCCGATCGAGATCCAGGTCCAGGAGTACGCGATCATCGGCCGCTCCGACGGCACCATCGAGACGATCATCACCGCCGAGAGCTCCATCGATAAGCTGCTCGATCATCGCCACATCGTCCTCCGCGGGATGATCGGGAGCTCCGTGATGAAGGTGCGCCACGAGATGCTCCGCGTCTTCCGTGAATTCCTTTGGTCGAAGGGCTACTACGAGGTGAGCCCGCCGACGATCGTGCAGTCAGAGTGCGAAAGCGGCTCCACTGTCTTTGACTTGACCTACTACAACGAGAAGGCCTACCTCACGCAGTCCTCGCAGCTTTATCTGGAGACGGTCACGTCGTCGCTCGGGAACGTGTTTTGCTGCTTACCCAGCTACCGTGCGGAGAAGTCAAAGACGAAGCGCCACCTCAGCGAGTACACCCATCTAGAGGTGGAGTACGACGTGTGCACCTTTGAGGATCTGCTCAGCCGACTGGAGGAGCTCATCACGCACGCGTTCGACAACATCATCGCGCGCGCTGGAAATTTAGTCGCCCTGCTGAACCCCTCACAGGTGATCGACCCGGATGGGGATCTTTTCGACCCCGCAAACTACAAATTTCGCCCTAAACGCCCCTTCCGTCGCCTGCGGTACAGCGAGGCGATTCAGTTCTGCAACGATAACGGCATTTTGAACCCCGAAACGGGCGAGAAGTTCAAGATTGGCGAGGATATTACCGACCAGCCGGAGCGCGCGATGGTGGCGAAGTTCAACGAGTTCATCCTCATGACGCACTTCCCCGCCGCGATCAAGTCGTTCTACATGCAGCGCGATCCCGAGGATCCGATTATGACGGAATCCGTGGATGTTCTCGCGCCCGGGATCGGCGAGATCGTTGGCGGTTCCATGCGTATGTGGGATTACGACGAGCTTATGAAGGTTTACGAGCAGGAAAAGATCGATCCGTCGCTCTACAGCTGGTATATTGATCAGCGACGGTACGGCAGCGTCCCGCACGGCGGGTTTGGCTTGGGAATTGAGCGTCTGCTGGTGTGGTTGCTGGATTTGGATAGTGTGAAGGAGGGATGTCTTTATCCGCGCTACATGGGGCGATGCAAGCCGTAAGAACGAAGAGGCGGTGCGAAAAGGAGGAGGAGGAGGAGGGGAGGGTAGTTGTCTGAGTTCATATTAATTGACTTCAAAATTTTTCAACGAGGGGTAATTTACACGAACAGAAGTCTCCTATCGATCTTAAATTAAAAGAGCACAAAAATAAGGAGAGGTGGAAGAGAAAAATAATGATCAAAAAATATATCTGCGAGTGCGCGTTACGTTTCTTTTATATTTGTTTTATCGGGTTCTCGTTTTTCAATATTTTACTTTTTAAAGGAAGTCAAGTGGATCAGCGCAAATATCCTCTCCGTATTTTTCGTTACTTTAAATAGCATTACAATTCGTGGTGGTGGTAGTGGTGGTAGTTAGAATTCACCCTCAGGGATTGTTATAGATTTTTTCCTAATAATAAAATGGAGGATAGTGGCTGAAAAACAAATACAAAGCTATTGCGATTCTGGCCCCAAAAAAAACAGTCAGATAATTCTATAATTCGAGTTATAACTATATATATTCATTTTTCCGAATGCTTTAATTTTTTATTTCTGATTCAGTAAGCGAATGATATGCGAATCTAATAAAAACGGATATTGAAAATAGTATTTAAATTTATCTAGCATTCTATCTACAATATAGGTAACCTCGTAGTACCTAGGATACTATTAACAGTAGTATGCCCACGCTCTTGATAATTTTTTCCTTTAACAGCTACTAACTTCATTCCATACAAAATCTCTATCCTGTATGTTTTTCTTTTTAAAAGAAGTTTTTATAGGCAAAATCAAGCACCACTAACCTGCATCTTGCGCAAATATTCTAGTTTAGCACAAAACAATAGACCCGCGGTATCGTGATGATCAATTTTATTCTCTTGCAGAATCGAATGGGCAAAACACGACTTGCTAAATTCTACATACCTGTGAGTGATGCCGACCGTGAGAAAATGAAGCGCGAGGTGCACGCTGCTGTGAATGCTCGTGATGTGCGTTCGTCAAACTTCTTAGTGTATCAGAACCTGAAGCTAGTTTACCGCCGCTACGCTGGTCTATTCTTCATTTTTGGTATTGACGCCGAAGATAATGAGCTTAGCTACTTGGAATTCATTCACCTGCTTGTTGAAGTGCTAGACATGTTCTTTGAGGATGTATGCGAGCTCGATTTAGTGTTTAACTTCCATAAGGTTTATATGATTATCGATGAAATGGTCACTGGGGGCGAAATTCAGGAAGTTTCGAGGTCGATCATCTTAAAAAGACTTCAAAAGCTCGATATCTCAAGCAAATAAGGATTATACGACTTTTTCCTTTTAATATTTGCTCTCGATGGTGTTGTTTTCTGAAGTGGTTTACTTTCTTCGCGACCTGTTGCGTCCGATTGCGTTGCTGCGTTTCGATAATTTTTGCCTGTGGCCATCAAATATCATTGAGTGTTTCCCACCTTATGGTGCCATTTCCACGATTTGGATGGCGATCAAATACATGTCTTTTGATTACGGCTGCGATTTGATTATGGATGCCTAAACGAAAAGGGAGGATTGGCTTTGCCAATCCTGCTAGCGTTCCATCACCCCTGTTGGTATTTTCAGCCTCACATGGTACGTTTCTTGTCATAGCTATTTCTCTTTTATACTCTTCAACACTCTTCAGCTGCGTAAATAAAAGTGTTATATCGAAGCGAGTCTACTATAGTTTTTATTATTACTATCATTAAATAAGAAAATCATTCGTATCATAGAGCATCACGTTGAAAGGCTCTTACGTTTTCTTCGCTTCCGTACATCATGGCTGGCATAAAGAATTACCTTTTCTATATAGGTGTTCTTATCCTTGCCCATGCTGTCTATACCGCGATAACAACGCGTGAGCAGCTGCAGGCGTGGCATCATGGACGTGTGAACCCCTCCGTCCGTTCATTCAATGTGATCCCCGCCGTTTCCACACCGGTGCTCCTTTTCATCGTTAGCACCGAAGCAATTATCGGAATGCTCATCGCCATGACAGGATTTGTCTGCCGTTCAACGCTGAGGGAGGCTCTTCTGACGGAGCTCACGCAGTACTATCGATACGATCGCAACATGTACACCGGGATCGGGTTTATTCATTTCAACCACCGAGGTACCATTGGCGCGGGGAGGAAGGAAGCAGGGGAAGACGTGGAAGGCGTGGAGACTAGCACCATCACAGCTGCAGGAGGCTGCAAATCTGAAAATGAAAAGAAAAAGGATTAAACATGAGGATGCCGTCGATGGGGTGGGGAGATAAATAAGCAGAATCCGTGTGTGAGTGGGCGTGTTCACGTGTAGTGGCCTCGGATAACTCGTGAGGCTCATGCCCTGAGGGGAGTGAGCATGGTTAGCTCAGATACCTTTCAGTGGAATAAATAAGTGAGGTTAACGGATTTAACAATATTTTTGCGCTAAGTAGACACTATCTCATACGTTTGTCTATCGTTTGTAACCTGTAGACCTGCTGAATTTGATAAACGCCATGGATATTTTTCTCTTTCTAATGTGTTCAGATAGATCAGGGTTTTTTCTTTTTTAAATTTTTACTTACACGCGTGGCTCCTAAACAGAGTTTATGGTCATATAGTTACACCATACAGTAGATAGACTGTGATTTTTCTTTCGAGAATATTGCGAGGGTTAGAAGTCTGACCTTCTAGAGTACAGCTTAGGTACTTATTTTCGCAAAAAAAAAATACATAGATAGCGAACACCGCAGGGATCATATAGGCGGCATTGGAGCCCCTCTTATACCCTAATCACATCGGTAAAAATGCTTAGAAAGACACTAGGGTTCTGCTTTAGAGGCGTGATTGGGCAACCATCGCCTCTTTTACTAGGCAACAAGGGAGGGACACCGAAACGCAAGAAAAATCCTATGCAGCTCCGTCGGAAGGTGTATGGGATTCACTTTAAGGAGCGTTATATGAAGCTAGAGGAGTGGTATTATTGCCCGTTATGTGCGGAGCCCAAAAGGCAAGGGGAGTGGTGCCGTCGCGAAGCGTGTCGACAAATAAAACCATAAAGTGCGGGTGTGAGGTCGAAGAGATAGCCGAGACGAGCATAGGAATGTTCTCTTAGAATTCTCAATTCAATTGACGCAAAAGTAATTTTCTTATCACACACTTACTTCAATTGCCTTCTTCCTCTTGTCTGGATGTATTTCGGTATTTATATCGATATATACAATAGTAGACCCTTTGTGTAAGGTGACCGTGACATGCCAAAGCGGCATTAGTGATTTTTCGATTAAAAAGTCATTATCAACATCACAAAACAGAAAGCCGGAGTGCGTTGATCATGTCAGTAAAATTAAGACCCCCTTTTCAATTCCAACTCCCTCCCCCCACCTCTGCTTCTCTCAACAACTTCGACATTTTGAGTGATCCACCATTTTTCCCTCCGTGGTAGAGTTGTCGTCTGATTCACCCGTTGAAGACGACGACCTTGCTAAGGACTTAAAAAGCGATCTTCGTCCTTGATGGAGCCGTTATTTCACGAGCCCGAGCCCCTCTTGGAGGATGCGACCCCTCTCTCCCGACTCATCCACTTCGAGGTCCCCCCTCTCCCTGAAACGACGCGGCCCAAACGACCTCGCGGCGGCGACGCGCCCGGGTCGTCTTCGTCGCGGTTTCTTCCCGGGGTTTCCGCGGAGACCCTCGCGGTGGTTCGCGCGCTGAAGGGGTTTTTAGAGTACGGCGATCACCCCTGCGCGGCCTTCGCGGCCCTCGCGGCGACGCGGGC